GTGATGGCTCGGATTGCAACACTGCTCGAGAGAAATGCTGGTTTTGGATGACTCACATCCACAACAATAAAAAGTTCTAGTGTAATTCAAGACAGCTGACTACAACCTTGAATCATACATTAATACTCAGCTCTATTTTTTTCATTTTATTACTTCAAAGTTAAAATTAGGTTGCAAGTACTGCCCTGCACAGGCAACATTCTGGAAGGGGCCATCACAGCTCTGGCATGGACTTTGCGTGGCTGATGCCAAGAAAATATAAGGGAATGTCAGGGCAAGATGAGAAGAAAATAATTCAGTGAAGAAGGAGGCAATGTTGTAAGATAATGAATCTCATTTCCCCGTTAGTTGTTGGACTCAGTCTGTTATCACTTTTCCCAAATGCCTTATCTAAATTAGGTTTCCTTTCTTCTTTTGGTTCTATAAGTTCTTTGCAATCTTGCCATATTAATTTCTGCCTGAATTTCCTCTGTGAATGATGCAAACTTCTGAAAAATCTGTCTTGAACCAGAGATTGTTACGATGGAATTCCTCGTTTCTTCAAATCCTTTTAGTTCCATCACTGCATTCTGTTGCAATATCCTAGTGTTACATGACAACTGCTGCACATTAGAAGTGGCTCAGACTATACCAACTATACTTTAATCACTTAAAGAATACACCATGTGACAAGCATTCCGTGTGGTATCTCAACAATTACGTTCCAAGTACTTTGGACTTGCTCTTCAGCTTGGCTCCGTGGCCCGGTGCTGTCAAGAGCACAGGAGGGAGTTCTCACAGCATGTCTAATAGTGGAGGAGGAGTGCCTCTTTGGCCCTTCCTAAGGAGATTAATTATTACTGATTTGTTGTGAATACTTGTTTTTAAAAAGTGGACTAAGATCCCACTAACCTCTTTCACAGATAGAAGCTGGAAATTTGCCAGTGGTAACAACTTTTAGTCGCCTCACTGCAAAGGCAGTTTCTCCTGTGTTTATGAAAAGATCTTGCCGAATTGTTTTGCAGAATATTGGTGACTTCCATTGAGGTAACGTGTAAGCAGTTAGTCCATGTGTATGCATATTAGAAGAATACTTTTTTTCCCCTCAAAGCATGGCCAGCTTATGGAATTCACCACAAGAGATACTAAATCTTGCTAAAAGTTTAACGATGCTCAGAAGTGGATTAGGCATGTACCAAAATAAAACAAAAAGCCCAAACAAAAACTCAGGAGAGCTAGAAATTTTGATGTTTCAAGGAATAAGATATCTGCTAATCAAAGAGGTTGTTGGAAGCAGTTCCCCAAGTAGGTTATTCCGGAATTGTTGTTTGGAAGATCTCCTGTGTCTTTGGCAGAAACATTTAACTGTGGCCAGCCCTAAGACAGACTGTTTGAACCACTGATCTGATTCCACATGGCAATTTCTGATGTCCTTGCCAAATAAGCTCATGAATGGCTCCCAGCCACACTCAGTGCATAAACATGAGGAATGTAGTCAAAGTGGGCAGAACTTTGCCTCAGCACTTCACCGAAGATGGGTGTTGCTCAGGTAAAAGCTATGGAGTTTGTCCCCTGCAATGTACCTGTCCCTCAAGTGATGCCCTTTTATTTCACGTGTGATGCTCAATGCTTTGAGAAAGAAAAGAGAAATTCTTTCCAAGCTAATCTAAACTTAGATGGTGTTGCTGTGTTTGCCATTTCAGGAAATTATTACAATCAAGGAGAGATTCGTAAGAAGGAACTGGAACAGAGTTGTTTTCTTCTGGGGATTCCTGCTTCCGACGTAACAGTCGTTGATCACAGGTAACAGGTTTTCATTTGCAGCTTAATTCCTTGCAGTCTTAAATAGGGGTGAAGTTCACTTTAAAGTTCAGTGAAAGCTTACTATATAATTCTAAAAAGTCTTGAGGAATCTCAAAAAAGACCATATTAGATATTTTTGTTAGCTCTTAACATAAATCTAATTAATGCAGGAGACGAAGTGTATAATGGGGATCATAGTCTCTAGGTTAAGCTCTGTTGATCCAGCATTTGGAATAACGATCGCCATACTCGTTGGGGTCTGGAACAATGTGTTTGGGCAGCATGATCACATTTTGTTACACTTGTTGGAGCTTTATACAGACAGGTAAAACTCCTCTGCATTGCCTGTGGCAGGTTTGTCTGTAGGCTAGTCTTTACAGGGTTAGTGTGGAATTCTACTATATTTATAATCTGATTTAGTCCTGGCTAAAGACAAAAGTGAATTCCCGTATTAAAGACAGTCCATAATAACATGACAGGAAGATTCTTTCAGATTAAACTATACAATATTTCTGTTTTTCTAAGGCGTGATGTGTTTTTCTTTAGTTGTGTGTAGACACAAAGGTAGGTGATAAAGCTGACACTTCTTTGTTTTGGGATTAATTCAGGAAATCTCTTCTGAGAAGGTGGTTTAACACTTTGAATCAGTGAAACTCAGAATTAACATTGTAAAGGCTTCTTGAATTGCCTGATCGTTTCCTGTCTAGGGTTGATAGGGGCTGAACTAGGAACTGATTGCTAGGAAACACCGTACAAGTGATTGTTTCAATTGTAAACCACTATCCATAAAGAATATTTTTGTTTGTGAAGAAATAACTTTAATAGCAACATATTGATTTAAAGCTACGCCAACTACAAAAGTCAGAGTTGAAAAAAATTTGGCTCCAGGCAGGCCCTGTTCCCATGAACATATTTTCCCTTGAGCTAAGGCAACAGAAACCACACTCCAGAATATGAATCTTCTTGAGTTCTTTGCTTTTTTTAGCTTTAGGTTTCTCTCCAAGTTTTCAGCTCACTTACAAAAACAGCATAGGAGTTGTTTTTCCTTTGGAATGAAAAGGGATGTTTCTGCTCACTTCTCATTAACTACTGTTGGATAACTTCAAGTTTTATAGTACAATCGTATGACAATGCCCAAAACATTTTGGGGAGGGACAAGGAAAAAAGCTGCTAAACTTTACTAAGCATAAAGTCTGCTCAACGAACCATCTTTTGAAATTAACACGGAGTAGGAAGGTGAGGGCCATTTCAGAGAAGTAGCTTGGATCATGCCTCTTCCATAAAAATGTACAATACCAGTAATGAAAGTAATGAAGTAATGACTGACACATGATTTCCCCCAGTGAATGCCGTGTCTGAAAAGACAGATCCATCCCATTGCCCAGAGCTTCTGGGCATGGACCAGAATGTGCAGCGTTGTTCCAAGAAACGGGTTTAGAATTCAGGCCTTTATCTCTGAGTTTATGTTGCTATGAGATAACCATCAAATCAGAGTGAACTGAAGTTCTTGCTGCATTTTGCTCAGCGCTTGTTTCCGTAGTGAAGTTCAGCAAGTTTTCAGTGCGTTATTTACTCTGCAATAACTCACCGTGTGGATGCCCTTTGTGAAAAGTATCTGTGGATCAGGCGTTAGCAAAGTGATAGAGGATCAGGAATAATTTCTAGATGACACTGAATATTTAGAGAAGATAATGTTTAGAGTACTGTTTTCCAATACTTTAGGCAAAGCACTGGGATTTAGGGTTCTCGAAACTTACTCAAAGTTCCTGGATTCTTTAAGGTCAGTAGCTTACCTATGCCTCTGTTATGACTTGTGTAATTTACAGATTATACAAAAATATTTGCCAGTATGGCATGATGTGAAACTTGCTAAATTAATATGTTATCTACAGCTATATTTCCGTGTAAGTTCATGTCTACAGAGTACAGTTCAGGAGGCTGTTCCTCTTCAGCGTTTTGTCTTCCATAGGCACTGTTTAAGATCAGAGCACTTTGGCTTTTTTTGTTCCCTTCCTAACTCTTCAGAAGATAATTTTCCATCGATATAAAGAACTAGCACATTGCTTAAGGACTGCAGCTGGCATGCTGCCCATCTAACATTTCTTATACAAACACTGGATGCTTTACATTATCCAAGCTGCAGACTTGTATTTTGGTAAGGAAAGCCCAAAGGATGGTCAGGTTTGGATCTGCTCCAGCCATTGTAGTGTGGAGCTGAGTCATGCTGCTTCCTCTTTTGCATGACCTACAAGTGAGCGAGTAGAATTTTCACAATGTAAAAGGGGAAATACATCTGAAAAGCAAGGTGATTGACTTGCTCTGTAATCTTACTTGTCCAGGCAGGTGTAAAATCAATGTGACATTTTGAATTGTGTGTGAACTTATAAAGAGAAAGCCTCGGTCAGTCAGCCCAGGATGAAATCTGTGTTAAAGATCAATTCCTTATTAAGTGGTTGCTTGCCTTAAACAATGACTGTCTCAAGCATAGTCAGGATTCCTAGGGCAGGACTAGTTCAGTGTCTATGAGACAATTGCTTTGCATTGATTCTTCAGAGGGCGTTTGATGTTGTTATTGTGTTGTTGCCTCAGTTAAGGACAACTCAAACCTTCTGCACAAGTATGGTCCCAAACTGTACCCACATTTCAGCCCTAGAAATTGGAGGTCCACGTGAATCTCCCACAGAAAAGTATTTTGCTGCAGAGGGCACATCCAGGAGTGGAAAGGGGCATGCATGACCACGCAGCACCTGGTTACTGTAGGTGAGCAGATGGGCATGCAGACAGCCTGTTCCAGACTGTTTTAGATTAGAGCACTGGACTCTTCCTGCCTGTGGAAAGTACAGGTCAGGCACCAGATTTGCAGAGGTGTCCCCTGAGCAGTCATGTAACTATCGTAGCTCCAACACTGCAGCAACTGAACAGCTGCTTTTAAGAGAGAAAAATTTTACAGTCCACTTTTGTTACCATTCCCACACGAGGCTTAGTACTTGGAGCAGCCCAGCTCTCAACTAGGACTTGTATTGTTTAAAGTTAATTTCTGTACTGTCACAATTATTTCTGCTGCTGGGTGAGGGAGGAGTAGCAAGAGAGTGGGGTGTGAAACTCACGTAAGGTAAAAGCCACTTCATTAATGATATATACGGTAATGTAAACTCTGTGCTTTTGGTACATTTCTATCATCTTATGTGCTGCATCAATGGACTTTTTGTAGCTGTAAAGATGAGGGATAAAGATGAGCTGTGCCATGACACCAGCTTAATTTTCACAAAGACTGTTACAGTTCTACAGATCTGCATTGAAGGTAAAATGAGCATAGCTAAAATATGATGGGTATAGGTACCTCTAATGCAAACACAGACTCGTTCAACTGACAAATCTGCTACGCTGATATGTCTAAAGCAGTAGGTAAATCAGATGCTGGACATTTCTGTGGTGGCAGGAGGCTCTAATTTATAAAGCATTTGGCTGCACTGCAAACCAAAACGGACATTGATTTTCACCAAAAGATCTGTTGTTCTGTTAGACTTTGCTGCCAGATTTAGCTGAAGTTTAAATCCTGTGGTAATGTGTGAGCAGACAGTCAACTTAAAGGATATGAGTACTTGCAGAGCAGGGCAGAACCCCCTCCACTTGAGAAGAACAAGTCAGAATGCCTGATTTGCACTTGAGTTGTGTGGCAAAGACAAGGCTCAGCTTAACAAGAGGAGAGCTTGTAAACAAGTCAAAGTAGAGTCCTGCATTATCATAAAACATGATAGTTTTATGATAATAAAACAAGAGATGGTTTCTCTTCCCTTCTCTTTAGAATATGCGGGAAAGAATGCTTCAGTAGCAATGTGAACAGAAAAAATATTCTTCACATAAGTGCTCCTTTGGGTGCTGTTCTTCGGTGTGGCATTGCTGCACATTTTCTTGGTTGTTGCTCTGTCTCTCGTCTTGAGAACAGGGTGAGATGAAGGTGCTCTAGTCTCCGAAACAGTAATCAGGTCACCAGTCTTTGCCGTGGTTTTGGGCTTGTAAGGGAATTTACTTACAGCTGAGGAGTGATTAATAGCTGCAAGTAATTAATCTGTGAATGCATGCTCCTGAGCTAGAAAGCTCTCTTTCATGGTACATGGAAAACCAGGAGTTAGTATCTGATTGATCTCATATTAAGAATTAGTTAAGGTCCCATTAGCATTGGGCACATCTGCCAACACTCTGACTGTTTACTGGTCTGTAACATTACATGTAAACAGAAGATGCTTTCTAAGGTGTTTTCACTTTCTGAAGAGAACAAGCAAAAGGAAGCCCAAGTTATTCTTTTTTCCTAGTATCTGTTTTGGGTTCATGGAAAGATAAACATCAGGCATTTTACTGCAGCTTCTGAAGCTTTTGTGCATGGTTGAACTGAACAGAAAGTAAAGCTGATTATTCGCATCTTTAATATGACAGAAAATATTTGGCCCAAGTTTGCACTGCAAAGAAAATAATAGCTGAGATTTGTGTAAAGTAGAAAATTTTCCGTTCACAGTTCAAAGGCTTACTGCAAATGATGTTGCATCTGCTTCCAAGTTTCCATGGAAATTGCACTCCATTTGCTTTTTTATTATTATTATTTCACTTAAGCCCAAAAGGGCTTTGATTGGACAATACACAGGAGAGAGGACATCTGCCCATGCAGAATTGCAGGCTATCTGCAAGTTTTTTATGAGGCTGCAGAGAAGCTCAAGTTCTTTTTTTTTTTCTTCTTTTTTTCATATAATAATTCTTTGCTGTTGAGCTTATTTTTTCCCCCTGCATAGTAAATAGGCTTTACTGCACTTCCTCATGTTTAACTTCTAATGAACTTCCTTCCACAAGCTCCCCATGTAGAGAAGTGAGTCTGTAAGGTCATGGGAAAAATATATCCTTATATAAATAGTGTGTGTGTCTGATCGTGATGATCAGAAAGATATAAAACCACTCAGACCCTTCAGAGAATGAAATATGTAACTGGAAATTTGAATCTTTTCATTAGA